GATTGAAGACGCTCACAGATTTTCATACTTGGGATCATTTGGGTGCAAAGACCAAGTCGACGATGCCTCCAAAGGGCCATAGCATCCAACTCCTACTTTGGGATTTCGTAGGCTGATGCTTGTTCTCAATTTACTTTGTTTTGCTGCAACTTTAAAACTCGAGTTCGGCGGCAAGAGACCGGGAATCATCCGAACCAGAACTGCGGTTGAATCGTCTAGAGCTCGATGTGCCCTGCCTCGTTGAAAACCACAAACACTCAGTCCGTCTAACTCCCCTGGACACGAAACCCTAAACCCAAACTCCTGAACCATGACAGCCTAAACCCTAAGAACCCTAAACGCTGCCGAGGCACAGCAAGAGGTTTGCTTCCATGATCGACCCAGTGGCTTTCGAGCACTGCGTGCAGGCTGCATCATTAAGACCTCTGCTTGCAGCAGAAGGGGTGGCTTTCAGGGTCTGGGGTGTATACCCTATTCGTTCGACGCTATTCTACCCTAAATACAGGCCAGGATTCGGGATCGCTTCTTCGGGCCCTGCATTTTAAGAACCCCCCCTCCAAAAACAAATCACCCCACAGACCAAAAAAATCCAAGAATCCCACAGAAAATGTCCCTCCTTAAGGATCTGCTTTAATCGTCGGAAGCCTGATCAGACTCAAGCCCGCGCCGCAACGATGCACAACGTCCCAAGCCCTGAAAGCAAAACATCCCGACTGTGGCAAGATCGAGCGGCAGCAGAGAGGATTCACGAGCTCCACCAAAAGCATCCTCGGCTCGGGCAGAGGATGCAGATTCACTCCCACACCGGAAAGCCTCTGCTGGCTGATATTTCTCAAGTCCACCAGGGTAGATAGCATATTGGCAAACATGCAGGAGTTAACTATCCCAGTGCCCCCCACTTTCATTATTGCACCTGCGCCGCCAGGGCTAGAGCAGTTGGTTTCTCAGTGTCCAGCATGATGCTTCAGTGCGAAGCTCCTTCTGGAAGTAGAGTCATGGCACTAAAGCAAATCCTGATGCACTCAAGACGTATACAAAAGTGGGTCCGTCCACTCTAAAATATAAAACCCTCCAACAAGGAAGTTCTCGTAAAAAAACCCGAACTCCTGAACCCACCGTTCCCCTGCTTGCGGCGCTGAAAGCGCGAACTTGGTGAGGGGAGCATTGGGTCGGTTATGGTCTCTGGCGTTGTTCGGGGTTGAAACTTGACTCCTTTATTTGCGGGTCCTGACTTTAAAAACCCCTTTTTTTGAACCCAGGCTCTTTGCTATCAGCTGGGGGGGGAGGCATGACAATTGTACGCCTGTCCTAAACCCTAATCGGGCTCTTTCCTTGGACCCTTCAGGTTCTTCTGACCCAAAAACCCTGAACACGACTCCCGGAGATCCAGGGTTCAATGCTACGCCTTAAAGCATCTAAAGGTATGACAGCCTTGGAAACCTGGCGGTGGGAGGACGGCTGGTTAAACGGATATGAATTCTAGGGATACTTGAGCTACCGACACCGTGGAACTCCCCATTGGCCTTTGGGCTTCCTAGTGCTGCCAGGGAAACGGTTACACGGGTTTGTGTTGTTGGTTGAGGTTTAGGGTTTAGGGGTTTAGGGGTCCTATTGCGGATGACTCAGAGAATCGAGTTGGCATGTCATTCTCCAGGGCTGCCGGGCAGAGTTCAGGCAATAGAAGAAGGCAAGCTGGCTATATATGATGCAGCAGAAATCAGGATGCCCGAATCCCTCAAACCAAGGAGTTTGCACAAACATCAACAGCCAGGACCATCGCCATGTCATGAAAAGAGGTATGAGATACTACACCTACTTTTTCAAGCATCAAGGCTAGGCTTAAGCTAGCTGCAAGTGTACCTCCTCCCTTAAAGAAAAACGAATACAACCAATAGTCATGTCTTGGGAGCTGATTCTGGAACTTTTTCCCTCCTACAAGGGCTTAAGGCTTGAGGGTTTCGGGCTCAAGGTTTAAGGGCTTAGGGTTTAGGGTTCAGGGGTTTAGGGTTTCGGGCTTAAGGTTTAAGGGTCAGGCTTCGGGTTAGATCTCGACGCTTTCGAACCGGAAGCTGGGTGGCATGCCAGGACTGTGGAACCCAGGGTTTAGGGTTTTAGGGTTTAGGGTTTAGGGAAAATGATTGGAGACAAAATGCATACAGCCGGAACGAATAAACCAAAAAAACAGTAGCCCCCAATTCAAAGCCAGGTCACCAAGATCCCTGTAGCAGGGCCGACGTCTAGGACTGCGGGGGCATCTTGCAGTGTGATGTGCGGGCTACAAGACGATACCACTAGCTCTTCAGACCTGTGTAATATGCAAACTCAAAACCCTACACCCTAAAGCTAACTCAAGGTCCCTGAATTGAAAATATCGATGAGGCACGCCCACATGGTCATCATGCCGAAGCAGAATAGCAAAGACCATGCCAAGGTTCTCCTGCGACTCGCTGCCCGAACTCCGCTAAGACTTGGGCTGTACATGCGAAGTCTGTAAGCTTTTAGTTTAGAGTTTTGGGGAGTTCAAGTCTGATGAGTAATGAGCCATTTGTGATTTAGTAATATTTAGTATCGGGACCTAGGAGGTCTTTTGCATTCCTTAGAATCTTAGAAGCCTTAGCTGATTCAGGCCTATACTCCCGTCAGAATGCCAGAGTCAGCTTCATTCTGAACTTAGCTCTTGGTCGTTGGTGCTTTTGTCATCGGTATAGAAACATCTCCGCAGCACAACGCCCTTAGTTCTCCTGCTTTTCCGGTAGGAAGTTGGCTTAACGTCCCCGTTCACGACTTCTGCTGTTGCTGGAACTGCTGCTGCTATCTCCGCCTACTGCTACTGCAAAACTGCTACAACCACCACCACCACGATGAAAGCGATTACAACGACGACGACGACTGCTTTTGCTGTGGATGCTCGTCGTAATAGTCCTGGACGACGGCTACTTGTGTCTGCCGCTACAGCCTGTTGCTACAGCTGCTAATGCTATACTGCGTGCCTGCAGGCTGCTCACCTACACCTGTTTCAAAGCTGGCTCAGGTTTAGGGTTTAGGGTTTAGGTGTGTGAAAAAGAACACGAAACTAACCACCGCGAAACCAGAAACCAACACAGAAATAGTTGCCGCCGAGAAGCGCGCAGGTGCTGAACATAGTTATCCTGAGCGGCTTCGTGGCCTTGTGCCCTCAAACTTTGGGAAGGTTTAGGATTCCGGGCAGAATGCTTAGGGGATGTGTCTTACGAGCTATAACCCTTTACACCCGGAAGCTGCTCCATGCAAAGGCGTGGGCTTGGGGAGTTTGTATGCATGCGGCTTTGTTTTGGGGCCTTGCTGTTGGGCTGGGGGTTCAGGGTTCAGGGTCGACAGGTTTAGGGTTTGGGGCAGTCCTTTCAGCTGCCTGTGGTCAGGATAATGCAAGAAATTACCAAATGCCCCTGAAATCTCCGGTTCGAAACAGGTTTTACGAACTGCCTCCTCATGCTTGAACCCTTAGCTCTAAACTGCCCTAGACGGTTCAAGGCGGAGGGGCAGAGGGTTTAGGGTTTCAGAACGACTGCATCTTCTGAGGTTCAATGGCTCAGAATGGAGCAAAGCCGAAACCAGGTCTGATGTCTTCTCTTGTTTCAAGTCTCTCTCTCTCTCTCTCTGCCGCTGCATCCAGAGGGTCTAGCAGTTTAAAGGCTGGAATCTAGAATTTTACTCATGAGTCTGTAGGTGCCAAATCTAAGAAACTGGGCACGTCCTGCAAGTGTAGTCTAGTATTATCCAAAAATCGGCGAGCTTCTGCCCAACCGTCCAAAATTCCTGGAACCTATCTGCCTACGCCCCGAAGAAGATAAGCACCTGTATCTTACGCGTTCAGCAGACAAGGTTTACAGCATAGTCTGCCTGCACTGTAGGGCTTCAGGTCTACGGGCGAAGGCGTTGCTCGGATGATGCGACCGTAAGCCCGAAGCCGTAAACTCCAATAGGGTTTAGGGTTTAGGGTTTAGGGTTTAGGGGTTTAGGGTTTAGGGTTTAGGGTTTAGGGTTTAGGGTTTAGGGTTAGCCTAGACCATGACCAAGCGGCATCTTTCTCAGCTCACGCAAGGACCTGGTCTTCCGGACGAGGTTGGCCAGTCGGCAAATCCGGACCACACGCAGCATTCGAATGTCACGGAAGAAGTAGAGGTCCTCATGTAGGGTTTTCGACTCACACACTCGGACGCAGGCAGGCATGGCTTCATAGGGAGGGTTTTAGGGTCTTGGATTTAGTCATGCTCAGTCCTAAAACAAAACCCCACCACTGCCTTCGAGAGAAGCGCGAATCCAGGCTTCAACTGTGTCTGAGAGTTGTGCACAACTACGTGCAGGGAGGGAGTGCGCGCACCTCAAGCGACAATCTCTCACACAGGCCCCAAAAACCCTAAACCCTAAACCCCAAACCCTTTGGTTTAGGTCACTTCCGAAATCCGAATCCTTGAAATGCTGATCCACAGAAGCCTGGTGTCCAGTCTGGGGTTAGGGTTTAGGGTTTAGGGTTTGGGGTTAGCTATCCCCAAAAGGGGCAGAGCCCTTGAGCTTGAATTCTGGCAAAAGAGCACCGAAGCTGCTGTAACTCCGTTAGGCAAGAAAAGCAAAACCCAATTGGCCCAAATCATACTTATGAAATCCAAGTTCCTAGGCTGAAATTCGGCACCCCAAATCTTTGCCAACCCCAAGACTAGGACTGGGACAAAGCCCGCACGATGCTGGGAGCACAGGTTCTCTCTTGCTCAGAAACTGACGGCCGGCCAAGCTTAGGAAGGTCTTTTGAGCTTAGGTGTTTGAAATTGAAGTGGGGATTTTAAGAGTTTCGTCAGGGTATGTATTCTGCTCATCACAGCACTTGATACTAATCAACTGACAATCGCATCCTTATTGGTATCTTCTCGTTGTTTCTTAGGTGTTTGGGTGCTTGCTTTATTGTGAAGCCCGCCTCTCGTCCCATCTGGTAGATGATGAGTTCCACCCAGCCACAGATCAGCACAAACCTCGCATGTTGCGCTATTTCCGAATCATCCGCATCAGGGTACCGAAGTGCTAGGATTTCGGCTTTAAAACCCCCGCTCGAGTGAGCAGCCCCTTCAAGGCTCAACCCTGGGTTATTTCAGATGTCATCCGGTTTCTTCTTGCTTCTTGGGAGCCACAAAACCTAGATCCCAAAGCACGAAGCCAGCCTAATACATAAATTCCTAAAGCCCTAGAAGTTCATGAGCGAGGAGCGCATCCAGCCACGTTGTCAACTCCCTTAGGAACTTGAGCTTCAGGAGCCAGGTGTTCCTGTGGGACCGTGGTCTGGTAAATCTCAGGGATAGGATTTTCGTAGCTAGTAGTTGAGCTGAGGCTTCGATTCAACCGATTGAATGCAAAGCTGTGTTTCACTCTCGGCCCTCGGCCTCGCAACAGAAATCCTACGTTAACTTACCATGCCGGGTCTTGGTCTGTAGTATACTACGCTAAGCTACCAAGAAATAGGTTGAGGTACACCGCCAACCGTAGTAGAGAGTTCTAAGCCTACCGAGAAATTGGTTGTGGTAACCGTTGTGGTACTTCAGGCAGAGCAATGTAAAGTTTCCAGGCCCTTGTAAAGCCGTTTCGCCAAGGATCAGAGCGAACTCCATGGTGTACACAACGATGCAAACGATCATGACCTCCAGCTTAGGTTGCCATACGGGCTGCTAAGTGGGTTCAAATAGGGGACAGTATGATGGGTTACTATTACGCGCGAAGGGCCCAAACAAGCAAACTGGTTCGTCTTGGGGTCTTTTGACAACATGGAGCTTCGACTTGCGATCTAACAGGACTTCCGCTACGAGGATCCTTTTTCGTAGAGGCATGGAGCCGCAACAAATGTTTTGGAACTGGCATCTGGGGCCTCTGGGGCTTGGAATTGAGCATCAGGCTCGGCAGCGGAATAAGGGCTATGGTTGGCAGGTGGGAACCTGAAGCAGTAGACTAATCTACTAAGTCTGTTTGACGGACCAGTATTGAGGTCCTCGAACCTGAATCTTGAAATCTGAACCACAACGAGAATATTTAAAACGCTTGAGCCCCAAACTCAGGACAAGGGATTAGAATGCACTAGGAGCCAAACCTAACGCTTGAAACGAAAACCCGGACAGATTCAAGGTTGGGCCCTAAAGCGTCAAGAAAACCAACAAAGCTTTGATAGAACCCCTACATCCTTGAAGGAACCGGACCGTAAATTATAAGCCTCTGCACTCTCATATAAGGTGAGGGCTCCTCGGTTCGAGTTGGCAGCGTACGGTTTCCTAGGATTTTGTTCCTGCTACACACCAAGCAGCGAGCATCGACCAAGGTTGGGTGGGTTGAGGTTTTAAGGCATGGAGCTTGGGGTTTGAAGGCCCGAGGTTGGTAATGTCGGTTTTTGAACGGTGTGACGTGTTTTACTAGATTACAAATTTCCAACTGTGCAGCGGTCAAAGCCAGCACACCCCACACTGGTACACAGATGAACCATGGGAACGGTGTTTATCGTCAGGACCTTGCAAAACCACGTCATGAAACCTGTATAGAAAGGAATCCTGGATACTTCAGCCTCGACCAAACGACATGCGCCACACTTGCTTGACGGATTATTCCTAAACCCTCCGTTGCGGCCCAAGCTTGTCAAGTTTCTTCGGAAAAAACAGGCTGCATTTGGGATGAAAGACGTTGTATAGTAACTGGTGCAACAAGCATAGAGGCTGCATCCCGAACGTTGACGTCCTGCACTGCAACCTACGAGCGGCTGATGCTTTATCCAGAAAGACACAGGTTTTGCTGTTCGACAACCTGTTCTGCAGGTGCCGTGTCCTTGCAATCTGCACTGCCTACGTACGACGAGTATGACAACACTGAGAGCTTTCTTGGCACCCGCAACAGCTGGCGAGGACTTCCTGTGTTTTCGGTGGGGAGAAATCAGCGTGGAGTGATGCCAACGATCGTAGCAAAGAAGACTGCGGTCTTGAGAATTCCAGCCGTTGGTTCGATGCGGCTTCGCTGGTGAATAGTAAGTAGGTCATATTGAGAAAAACGGCAGGACTTTGTTTGTTATGCAGTTAGGTCAGACTCCCACAAGTCCGGCACCAGAAAATAAGGCCCAAAGCAAGTAGCCCCTTCAAGGCTTGAGGTCGGTGGTTACAGTTTGGATGGTGATATTTAATGCAGGTGCTAGATGCCCGCTGCGGCAGTTTCAACTGGATTCCAGGAACGGCGACATGCCCGTGGGGAAAAGCGCTCTTGTATAAGTTTCCCGAAGCCTTTGACGAAATGTACATCAATGGTCAATGCCTCATCGCCACTGCTATGGCATATGCCTTGTATAATCGAATAGCATCTGCATGAAACATCTGCCAAGATGGGTGAGTACCCGGAATAGGTCTTACAACTAGAACTCACAATCTGCAAGCAGTTACGCAAAGGATCCTACTAGAAGTGTAGAAGGGTCCTTCATGGCGCATCATGAGGCACATTTCGGTACGATTGATGGTTTTGGGTTTTCAGGGTATGCTAATTTGCTCCAAAAGATCTTTGGGATTCTGCCTGCAGCTTGACGCAAGAAAACCGCCTATTGCAAAGCGATGCCCGAATCAGAAACGCGGACATAAATCTTCCAAACCCGAGGCCTAAACAGCCTAAACACTATACTCCAAAAATGATTCCCCAAGCAAACAGGACCGAAAACCAGTCTCCGGATGTGGACGATTCTGTTGCTCTCAAGCCCCTCGCCATCGACAGAAAGAGGGCTGCAAACAGTTGCAGAGAATGCCTCAAGGCCTCCACCTCCGAAACGAAGGATTTTGGATCGCAAGGGCCTACTCGAACAATTATTCAATCCAGAGCAGGGAATGAACAGCTAATCCTCAGACATCCAACCCTAAACCACAAACCTCCCGTCCGCAGGTCCTACTGCCTAGATGTCCAGAGCATCCAACCCAGCCTGTCGCAAGCCTCGAGTGCCTGGAGAATACAGGCCCAAGCATTCCGAGGCACGAAGGCCTCCACCCTGCTTAGCTGCTTCAGGACACCAACCCCACGTCCCCACGGGGCGGTGGGGCTACTCCCCCTCAAGCATTCTCAAACCCTTCACGAGTGTTCCCCGCACGCCGATAAGTTCAAACTCCTAACCCAAGGCCCTTCAGTGCCTTCAGACTTCATTATATGCACTCCTTAGGGGCTGAGTACCCTAGCCCAGAACAGGTTAACCTCTTCAATTATAGTAGGATCATATAACCAAAGGTTAAAGGTTATCTACTCAGCTACTAGGACTCAAACTGGCTGACGTCGTATGAGTATTGCTTCCCAGGAGCTGTGTTTAGTGCCGGTGGGACCGCCCGCCCAGCAGCCCTTTCCTTAAAGCTGTACAAGCGCTCGAACGTTCCGGACGAGGCAGCCGAGAGGCTATGCATTTATACGTCTACCTTCCGAACGATGTTCACATATGTACGTACATATATACATGCATATGCATCAATGTGTACAACAATACGCAGGCACGCACGGCTAAACGATCAAAGGTGTGAACTCTGATTACCTGACCACCAACAGGAAGTATCGTCAAGCCTCATCGATGTCTATGCAGGTGACGATCAAGTCGAAGAAAATCACGCCAGCAACGATGTTGGGAATCCATGCTCCTGGGGTGATTGAGCATGAGTCACCCCGGCCGTTCGAGATTCCGGAGTAGATCGCGCGTACTTTGGTAATAGTTCATGACGCAAACAAATACGATGTTGATAGACAAGTCCTACATAATGCTCGGAGGACATGGCAATGGCGATTGCCCACCCCGATCAGAACTCCATTGCAACTGTGTTTATTCCTGTGCTACTTTTCGATGTTGTTTGTCAGCGCTGTTCGGTTTTTTGCTTGGCGCAGCAACTCGCAAAAAGCATCTGCCGGCTTGTTTCTGTATGCTCTTCGGTATCCCGGTCGACAAATCAAGCATTCTCCCGCCAGGACCCAGAGACCCGAAGCAAAGCAGGTGCCTCCATAGCCTTCAACTTTGAACTCCGACACCCCACCCACCCATGCCACCCAAAAGAACTTCGGCCGAGAGTGACGCAATGAAGACCGAACTCTCCAAGGCCGGCTTACCACTGCACAGTGTCACGAAGCTTCTTCTTTATGATAGCTACCATGTGCACTGAATGCCAGCTGCCCTACATGCCAGACCACCGACTTCCAAACTATATGCTACTGCCGGAAGGAGGAGCACAAAGATAGCGTCATGCAAAAGCACACATGCGGGCCCAGCCCACAGGCTTTGGGATGCTTCGGGACTGCAGCGCAGTCACTGTTCAGATACATCATCGTGCGGAAGCATCGCGAGCCTTTGCCAATGTGAGCATCCTCCGGTCAGATGTGGATTTTCGGGCTGGGCTTCGGTCTTCAATGCAAAGAGGGTGGGTGGCTAGGGGTGCTAGAAGGGACACTGATATGAAGGTCACTGAAAAGCTCACGATAAGGGTTACTATAGAGGGGCTTGTCTGGTCGAGGTCTGAAATTCGGTCTGGTCCTCTGCAGAAAGCCAGAGGGTTGCAGGCTCCTCAAACTCCGGGCCGGGTCTTTGCATCCCCAAAAATGCACGGATCACCCTGAAGGTTGCAGTTTACACCCGGGTTCACCCTGATGGCCTTCTGCTCCGCCTCCACTCTGACAAAGGAACCCATCTTCATGGGCGGTGCCTGGCATCTGCCAAACCCAAAACCCCAAAAAACCCTGACCCCTAAGCTAAACCCTAAACCCTAAACCCTAAAATCTGCCGACGCTTACTGACTGCTTTCTGTCTGGTGCTGGCTTCTGCTGCCACAGGTTTCTGAAGCCTTAAACTCAGCCTGACAAGCAGAGCACAGAAACGTTGGCCTCCAAAACCCAAACTCCAGCGCAGCACCTAAACTACCTGAACTTGAAAGACAAGAACATGCAAAAGCTCGGGAGAAAAGACGCGCTCGGCCACACATTCCCCAAGGCCCGAAAAATCTTGCCAGCCAATAAAGCTACTGCCACGCAGCGCCCATCCTCCTACATCAAGAACCAAATCTAATCCCACAAAACGACTAGTTACTTCTTCACACCAATCTGTTTACACCCTGATGATTCTCGGCCCGGCTTCAAGGACAAACTCAGAACCCCTTTCAAAGGCCTAATGACCACTTCCTATATGGTCCTCAGGCATAACACAAGGGAGATTCCTCACCTGAGGGGTATTATAACTGCTGGGGTTGGCATGGTTATCTTGGAAGCTCTCAACACCGTCGCGGAAGAAAGGCAGCGATGTTAACCAACTCCGTCGATCTCAATATCAAGAAACAACAGACGTCTCCCGTAAACCAGCATCGTTTAGGGTGGCGTTTCCATGGCCAAATTCAGGCAGGGCTGTTCATGGCGGATCTACATTGGAGCCTCTGAACCTACACATCGAACACTCTAAACCGAAAGTCTGAGGCTTTTAGCCATGAAGTGCTGAGGGTCTGCAGTCGCCTTGAGGGTGAGATGCATAAAGAACTAAGACTGGTCGACAGCTCGAGTTCTGTGTCGTAGAATAGTTAAAGGAAACTACAGGTGGGGAGTTTAGGATATTTTGGGCTTCTATAAGGCTTCTATAAAGCTCCTATAA